TAAAAACCGGTCGGGTATGACATGCTATATCAGATATTACCGGTCGAGCCGGCAGTACTAGTTGTGGCTATATCAATATGCATTTGGTATAACATTATTTTGTACATTATCCGTAATTTTTTAAGGTATATATTATTTGTACATTATTCGTATTTTTTTAAAAATAGTCAGTAATTTTTGTGTTAGACTACTTAATGGTTAGACAATCACACTATAAATTATTATACTTATTTTCATACTCTAATTCATATTTTGAAGCATAATACAAACAAAAGTATGACATTTTATATTAAGCATGCATTGGTTAAAAAAAAAAAAAATGGCTGTGTAGAATTTTTTTTTTTTTTTTTTCTTTTGGTACAAAGAAAGAGGCCAAAGGCCTAAGCTAGTACTCGTCGGGGGTATGAGACCCCAATGTTATCATGTTCAAGCCATGCTCCTAATCCCGTAGGCGGTAGAGAGACTCGATGTAATCCAACCGGATATGATGCCGCTAAGCTCGCCAGGTGGTCAGTCGCAAAATTCGCTTCTCTGTGTACATGATGAACTCGCACAATCCACTCCATCTGTAATAAGCCTTGGATGGCCTTAACCATAGCCACATGCAACCCAAAAGAGCCATCCACATTCATAACCATCTGCATAACGCACTGACAATCAATTTCGACAATAACTTGTCGATATCCCGAATCCCAAGCCAATAAAAGTCCCTGGTAAAGTCCCTAAAGCTCGACTCCCGCGATGGTACAAGAACTAATATTCATAAGGAAACCCGTTTGCCATTGTCCCGCTTCATCCCGAATCAGACCTCCAGCACTACTTAACCCGGTGCGATTGTCAAGCGCTCCATCGGAATTCACTTTCATCCACCCCGGGTTTGGGGGAATCCACCAAATCAGACGAGTAAAATAGGTGGCAGACCCAACCTTTTTGTAATCTGCCTCAACTCGAACATAGGTATCCGTCATTCGCAGCACCTCCAAATGTCGGGCCACACGGCTTAAAACATGTTGTTTAAAAATCCGCTCATTCCGCCACGTCCACAATCGCCAAGCGGCAACCGAGAAGAGACTATTCCAGCGTACAATTGTTCCCGGCCGGTGCAACAGAAGGTTCGTACGGAGCCAATCGTTCAGTTGCTGGCGGAAATTTCGCCCACAGGTTCAGCCTGAAACAAGAGGTGCCAAATCTCCTTCGCCGTTGGACAATCCCGCAAGACATTGAGTGTCGACTCAACATCGCCGCAGATGTCACACGCCACGGATTCAGATATATGTCGCCGCACTCGGTCGGCATTGGTTAGCAGGTGGTCATTTGCAGCAATCCACAAGAACATGTGTACCCGCTACGGAGCAGAAACTCGCCAGATGAGTTTCCATAAAGGTCGTTCATGGTGGCGCGTTGGAGAAGACAAAGCCCGATAAGCCGACTTCGTAGTAAAGTGCCCATCCTCCGAGAAACCCCAGAAAATATGATCATCCCCGGTTGTCGCTTTTGGGGGGAGAGTACCCGCTATTCGGAGTATCACAGCTGAGGGCAAGATGCCATGGAAGCTTTGTCAGGCCCAGTTGCCGTGGGCATCCACGTGCTCGGCGATTGTAGAATAAATATTCGCGATATGGGCCTGGTTATGAACGTGTCTGATCAAAATCCCATCCGAGCCTAGCCACAAGTCAAGCCAGAACTGAATCCGCATACCATTTCCCAAGACCCATCGTTATCTTTTAATTACATAGCAATCGTATGTAGTTGTTTGTCCCATTTTTGTTGTATTTTTCGTTATTATTTTATCAATCTTTTTCCCCCGTTTTAGGTCCTTTCGTGAGTTTTTAGTTTTTTTTGTGTTTTATTATGTGTTATGTTCCATTTTGGTTTTCTTTGTGTTTTTCGTGTGTTTTTCCAGTTTTTCTTCTTGTTTTTGGTGTGCAGGTCGAAAGTCTCGTGAGGAGTCGATTTAGCTCAATAATAGACCGGGCAATCATGGTTGTGTAGATGGACTTGTTGGCTACACATTGGAAAAGGCGGAATTGGATTTCAAGTTTGGATGAATCCGAACGGAGCCAAAACGCGAAGCCGCGCGAAGTCGCATGCGAACGTCTCTAGTGTGATGGTCAAAAGCTTCGGGAGAACCAGTTTTCGAGAATCTTGTGGGGAAGCTGACACCATTAGATAGAGGAGTTCGTTAGTTACGCGTAGGAAAAAACGGAACTCAATTCTGACTTCAAACGAGCCCGAACGTGCCCGAAACGTAAAACCGCGCACAGCAGAAATTTCTCCGCGGACAGACGCAAAAAGTCGCGGCCGCGGGATCAAGTCGCGGCCGCGGAG